AACTCTCTGAGCACAAGTTCCAGGCAGAAGCACCCCCACCCCTTTCCCCTGAAGAGCAGCTTTTGGTGAAAAGAATGGAAAGAACTGGGGATAAGGAATCGAGTTGCAATACTGTCATATATTAATGTGAGATAGACAAATTCTTAAACCTCAGTCTTAATGTTTAACTAGGAACAATACAATAACACATCTCTCACCAGACTTATAAGGGTTAGATGACCCTGGTCCATAGACGCTACCAACTTCCCCACTTCTAACCCGTCTAGGTTGGTATGGGTCCTTTTGTTCACCATTGTGTCTGTAATAGTGAACATAAGATGTAGCTCAAAATAGATCAGTAAAACAGGATCAGTCTTGATCCTCCTCTCCCTATCTCATCAAAGGAAGGCATTCGCAAAATATAGCCTGTGGAAGGATCTTCTCAACCATCTGAATTTAGGGATGGGGGTGGGCCATACTTGGCAGTGCTCAGTCACTATTTCTGGCTCTGTGCTCAGGAGTGACTCCTAGACGTGCTCAGGGTACTTTATGCAGTGTTGATAATATAACCATGGTCAGCTGCTATCTCTCTGGCCCTGTCTGGAACTTTATAAATAGAACTTAATTGGAATGCACCTATGCCCACTCATTTACATGTAGTTTACAACTGTTTCATGTTACAACTTCAGAGCTAAGTTGATGCTGCATAAGCTTACAAAGGTCAGAAACATTCACTACTGGCTCCATACAGAGAAAGCTGTGGACCCTGATCTTGTACAGGAGTCCTTCCAAATTTGGAGAACCATTAAGTCTCTCTTTGTTTAAGACAGAGAACAATCCTATTCTTCTCCTACCCAGAATTTATATCATTTGTCACTGACCAAGACTTTTCTCCATTTTCTTTGGGTCTCTCTGTTACTATATAATGTTCATATTATTTAGCTTTCTTATAAATGTTGTTTGCTTTCTATCTCCACCCTTTTCCAAAAAATTCATATGGGTAAGAATTTTTTTCATGAATCTAGTTCTCAGAATCTTGCCCAGTGCATGGGAATCCCAAAAATTTTTGTTAAAAGAATATACATGGATTTTTGTTGAAAAGATTATTCAACCAAGAATGTTGCTGGCTTTATCCTCTACAGAAGATCTGGGGGTTTGCGTAGGGAGCAGGGGAAACCCCTACTCTTTGAGGAGGACATTACTTTTCTTATTGTATAGATGAGACCATTAAGAGTCTTGCTCTGAAGTCAGGGCATCTCAAGCTTGGACATACTTGGGATACTATTGGTGCAGGTTCTGAGTCAAGTTTGAGTTGAGACTTTAGACACTGAAGTTCTAACATAACAAGCTCCTGGGTGATGCTGATCATGCTGGTATGAACTTTGGGGAAAGAAGGTCACTTGGGATCTAACCTAAGACTTGGAGGAGTGGAGTTCTAAACCTGATGATAACAGAGTCCCTCATTTCCCTTTGATTGCCTTTCCTATGTCTTCATACAGTTCTGTTTGGGGTCCCTATGAAAGATGGGTCCCTTATACCTGCTAGGCTGTTTCCCCAAAATTCTGCCACTACATCTTCACTTTCATAAATATCCCACTGTTGGGGCTGGACTGAGCTGTCAGGGTGAGCCCATGTAGACTGCACAGCACAACAAGCAGGAACATAGGGACCCATGAAAACGGGCGAGATTTCTCGTGTGTCCTGACTGCTTTGGATGAGGCTGAACATCCTTTCCCCTTCAAACTGACTTCAGTAAATAATTTCAGTATATTGAAAAGGGTGGGGGGTGGGCTGGAGCAATAGCATAGCGGGTAAGGCATTTGCCTTGCAGCAGAAACCCAGGTTTGATTCCTCTACCCCTCTCAGAGAGCCCGGCAAGCTACCGAGAGTATCTCATATCTTGCCTGCACGGCAAAGCCTGGCAAGCTACCCATGATGTATTCGATATGCCAAAGTAACAACAAGTCTCACAATGGAGACGTTACTAGTGCCCGCTCGAGCAAATGAACAATGGAGGACAGTGCTACAGTGCTATATTGAAAAGGGCAGTTTTCCTTTTCTCACAGAAGCCTGGGTGATCTTTGACAAGCAGATCTCAGGTGCTAGCCCAGCCTAGTCTTTGGGATGCAAATTTCAGACACTTGTCTTTGAGATGTACATTCCAGGCTCTAGACAGACTAGTCTTTGGAATGCAAATCCAAATACTTAGTACAAGAAAGGTTTAGGTTTTGGTTTTGCACCTTTTTCTGGAGGCCAAAATCTACTGGCCTGCAGACTCAAGGACACAATGTATATTTTGCTGTCTCAATGTTCTTTCTATAACTCCTTTTGAGGACGTTACTGTATTGGGCCCTTTAGAGGTACCATGATCAATAAAAGGAGATTTCAGAGCTCTCTACCTTGGTCAGAGGTCTGGGAGAACCTGGGCCCTCAATGAAATAAATTTTTTTCGCTTTCCTTGTCTCAGCATCTCATTCATGCAACTTCCCACCTCCAGCTTTTTCCTCTGCTCAGGCTTTCCCCATACCCATGCCCAGGAGTATGTGACCCTTCCAGTGGCCAACCCTGTGTCCTCAATTTACAGGTAAAAATATCCTGACTGACTTCAGGCTGGCAAGCTTCCTCATTAGAGTAACTCTCTCATAATTTTGCACAAGTCACATCCGCTAGCAGAGTTCTAGGGCCATGCCCCCACCTTCCATTTGCATCTCTTGGTAATCAGATGCTATTTCCAACTTTCCCTTATGGGATGGACTGCTCTTGGTGCTTACTTTTCTCCTATCTCTCTGTCTGCTTTGCCAACATTTCTCCTCCTGTGAGTCTGTGCTCAGCTTCTGAGCTGGCATAAGTTTCACACTTTAGGATTCATGGCTTAGAACTTCAAGTTTGCACCAACTCTAAGATCCCGATTTACCATCACACCATGAATTATAAGGACTTTCCTATCTGTCACCTTATCTTCTTCCTCTGCTCATCTTTCATTTAACCAATTTGTCCAATACAGTACATAGAATAAAGTGGACACTGAAAGACAGTACTAATAGGCTGAGGGAAGGAGAAGCCCATAGGTTGTGATTGTAATTGTGCAATTACACAATACAGTGGGACACTGATGTAACATATCAAGGATACCCCAGGGGCAATCACTACTGTTCTTTTTCCTTATATCTCCTAAAGATGTAGGATGGAATACTAGCACTTCACGATTGCCAAAGTTGTGCTGGGCACTTTACAAAATTATCCCACTCCTTCTTCATGATAGCTCTATGAGTTAAGCTCCATTGTCCTTATTTTAAATGAGGTTCAACAAGATCAGAAATTTCACTCAAAGCTGTCTAACTGGTGAAGAACTGGGATTGAACGATAACCTAAAGGCAATTGGGATGGGATAGGAACCCAGAGCTGCCTGTGTCATAAAGCTCATTCTCTTTCCATTACAGAAAAAACACTGCACAATATTTCACACCCCTGTGCCTTTGCATATGAACTTCTCTCTGCTCAGCGTTTTTATTTTCTCAGAATTGGATAAACCTCTCTCTGTGGACACTGATCAGTATCTTCTGCCTGATTAAATAAAATCACCCCCAAATGACTCCAATTCCAAAGGAAATATAGTGATCTTTCAATCACACTTTAAATATTTGACTTTATGCTAGTCTTCAGATAGGTTTGAGCACTCTGAACAAAAGGTCCAAAGTCCTGGTACTGGGACATAATGCACATGTTCCATGCATGTTCACTGAATATTTACTGAATGAATGAATGAATGATGAAATGAAGCAAGTTATTTGATATTTCTAACACTGGTGGTGGAGTTTCATTGTTCCCCCAGGAACAATGGAAGGTGATAGTACCAGAATATTAATGCCTACATCTGGTGACTCTGGTGACTCCACAATGACCAAAAGGCCTGGGAAGCCTTAGCTGGCTCTGTCTTCATCTGCCAGGACTTCAGAGATAATCACGGACAGATATGGTCTTCTTCACAAGGTTGGGTTTGTGAGGGAGAGGTGAAGACATGGATGGATGCATAATACACTTCACCAGGAGCCAATCATCTTGAGTTTTAACCCCACTGTTGCTAACTGGATGTGTGATATCACATGCCTACTTGTCCTCAAGTGTCAAATGTTGAAGGTACATATTAGGAATAGGGACCGATTGCATAGTCATCTAACTTTTCATTACCAAGTATCTGTTTCATGGGGCCCCAACACTTTTTTAAAAAGAAAAATTATCGTTTTGTTCAGAAAGTAAAAAAAATGACAGGAAATCATACATCAATAACTCCCAACAAAATGCTTTGATAACACGTGACAACTAATGCTGAAAACAAAAGTGACAATTCCAGCCCAAAGCAAAGATTTTAGATATTTCTTCCACCAGTAAAGCTTCTTCTAGATAAAGTTAAAATTTTATCTTTCCTGTAAACTTTCTGAAATGGTGGAACAGCTAAGCAGGCAGGCTCAGGGTGGAGTGGAGTGGGGGCAGAATCTGAGAATATTGGTGGAGGGAAATTTACACTGGTGGTGGGATTGGTGTTGGAACATTGTAAGTCTGACATTCAACAAAGAATAACTTTATAAATCATGATGCATTAATAAAAAATTGAAACTATTTGAACACTTTGGGCTACTCATTCTCCTAACAGACACAAATACAGCTTGAACTTGCTGATATTTATGATTCTGTTTTAGATATATACGTCTTTCAGGAGTACTAGACTGGCCACTTGTTAGAATTTGGGTATTACTAGTCAGAAAATTACAAAGGGAAGGCAATGTTTCATATCTCAAAAAAAATAAGTGGTGGGATTTCCAAGAAGACAAAAAGCATAATAGACATGTCAATGACAGTGTGTTTTCTAATGGAAAATGTCTATTCAAAACAAAAAATTAAGACTACAGGTGACTTAAACGAAAGTATGAGAAACCAACAGACACTTGATTGGTGCAGAAAATGCATGCTACAGGTCCCCTTACAGGGTATGAAGCAAAGTTATTCCCGGGTCGATACTTACAAGTAATAGGAGTAGGAATAAGCATTTCTTCTATATATTGATGGGCAGTCAGATGAAGAAAATGTCCAAAAAGGGGGAAAAAGAAAAGATAAACAAACAAGAATTAGATTTATATGAAATCTCGAATCTTAGAAATGTACATTGTATTTTAGCATCCCTAAGCTTAAAGAGATGCAGGTTTCTCTGCTAACTATCTCCAGTATCATGTATTTTTCAGTCATGGAAGAAATGAGAGATTTTTTTCTGTGATATAGAAACACTGCTCACTCAGAGGAAGCTAGGTCTTAGGCAGAGTGTTTAATCATTTTAAAAGTTCATTTTTATAGTCAACTGAAACTAGCTGTCTTATAATCATGACATTTTTGGGCTTGGATCAGATTTCCTTGGCCTTCAAATTAGCCTACTACTATCCATGTAATAGTGTTTCTGTAATCTAAGGAAGATCATAGTCCATCTATATTTTCTGTTTATGGTCAAATCACATCAGGATTTACTTAGGAAGGTCTGGTTGGAACGCATGGAGATACTGCAGGTCTTCCCAAATGAGCTACACTTTTCAATGTTTATTCCCAAGTGTTGTTTGTCTTCTCCTAATGAATCGAGACTCAACTATATGACCAATAGAATGTTGTAGGAATTTCATTCTGAAAATTTCTGCAATGGATCACAAAATATCCTCATAGTTCTGTCCAGGTCTTTGGAATGCTTACTTGGAACTCTGAGTCTCCATAAAATAGTGCATGTATACTGATATTGTCAAGCAGGAGAGACCACTCAGAGAAGCTACATGGAACATCCCTGTGACTGTATAAAGAAAAGGAGATAACTGGACTTCCTTTTTCATTTCAGCCCCAGTCAATTGGATTAAATAGATGAGATTCTTTAAACAATTTTTTTATTATTGAATCACTGTGAGATATACAGTTCCAAAGTTGTTCATGATTGAGTTTCAGTCATGCAGTATTTCAACACCCATCCCTTCACCAGTAGACATTTTCCTGCCAACAATGTTCCCAGATTCCTCCCGCCTCCCTGCTCCCTCCAGTCCCACCTCTGACATTTCCATGGAAGACACTTTTCTTCTTCTTCCCTCCCCACAAATCTTATCTTTTTAAGCACTTTGGTTTTCAATACTGTTACTGCAAGGTATCATGCATATCACTTTTTAAAATTAAATCACCATGAGATACAGTTACAAAGTTTTCATGTTTGAGTTTCAGTCATACAATAATCAAACACCCATCCCTCCACCAGTGCACATTCTTTACCAGCAATATCCCCAGTATACCCCCACTTTACAAACCTCCCCCTGCCTCTATGGCAGACAATTTACCCCATACTCTCTCTATACTTTTGGGCATTACAGTTTTCAGAACAGATACTGAGAAATTATCTCGTTTAGTCCTTTATCTACTTTCAGCACACATCTCCCATCTCAAATGATTCCTCCAACCATCATTATCTTAGTGATCCCTTCTCTATTCCAGCTACTTTCTCCCCCACCTCATGAGGCTGGCTTCCAACTATGGGGCAATATTCTTGGTCCTTGTGTCTACTGTACTTGGTTGTCAGTCTCATATTATGTTATTTTATATTCCACAAATGAGTACAGTCCTTCTATGTCTGTCCCGGTCTTTCTGACTCATTTCACTTAGAATGATACTCTCCATGTCCATCCACTTATAAGCAAATTTCATGACTTGATCTCTCCTAACAGCTGCATAGTATTCCATTGTGTAGATGTACCAAAGTTTCTTTAACCAGTCGTCTGTTCTCAGGCACTCAGGTTGTTTCCAGATTCTGGCTATTGTGAAAAGTGCTGCACTAGAAATTGAGCTTTTACCCCACAATACCACTTCTGGGAACATATCTCAAGGGTAAAAAAGCACAATAGAAATGACATCTGCATCTATATGTTATTTTTGCTGCACTGTTCACAATCATGCATATCACTTTACCTCCTTTCAGCTCTCAGTTTTTGTCCAAAGTGGTCATTTCCAACTATCACTATCATAGTAATCTCTTCTCTTTCTAACCACACTTCACCACCCCCTTTGTGGCAAGCTTCCTGCCATGAGGCAATCCTGCTGATCCTTGTTTCAACTGTCTTTGGGTATTATTTACACACTACAATATTTTTTATAACCCAGAAATGAGTACAATCCTGACTGAGATTCTTGATAGCATGAAACAGAAAAATCATTCCCTTCAAGCTATGATTAAAATATAGATTCATGAGAAAAATAAGTCGCAAAATTTCACAGCTTATTCTTAAGCGACTGAATTTCAAGGAATAGTCTGTTACATAGAGTAGACAACTAGAATGAAATTCAAACTACACCGAGAAATAGCATGAAGTGAGAGGAATTCCAATCTTCAGTTTGAATGGACTAACTTGAATAGACTCTAGGAGCTTTCGTTTTCTCACTGATTTCTTAGATGAGCTGAAGCATGGCAGTTCTGTTCAAACTAGTATTCTAGAAACCCAGGGTTGTGCAGAGAACCACACTATAAAAGAGAAGGTCTTCTAGACTACCCACTCCATCAAAGTCAGAACTCTTCCAATTTTACCTATTTATTAACTGCAGTTTCATTAAGGTTGCACATGACTAAGAATTCCATTCTCCAAAGTTAATCTTAAAGAAACCACTAACAATCTTTTCCTAATGTCTCTTCTAGATTTTGACTTTGGAGTAATTTCAAAAAACCTCAAGTCCATGGGTTTTCCTTTATTATATTTTTCCTACTTCATGGAAAATTAATTGGAATAATTTCATTTTACATATTTTGCCATACTGATAATAATTAGTATACTTGTGGATTGAGAAAATTTGATGAATAATTCAGGTCCCCAAATATCTATCTGAATAGGCAAGAACAACTTCTCTCCCTCTTGAGATATTTGGTTAATTTCAACCATTTTCCAATTTTCTGGCACAGGAAGATGAAGACTTTATATCTTCAGGGAGGGAAAATGACATTAGAGCCCCCAATTTTTCCCACTCAAAAAGGAACTGGCCATGGCTCCAAGGCAGGACCATTTTCAGATTTTCTCCCAGTTATCAGAGGAGCACATCACTACACCATCAGAAGAAAAATGAACGTTAAGAAATTACTGAATAAGGGCACAGTGTCTTTTTAGGAGGTCAACTTTTGGGGGAACTGAGTTCACATGCAGCAATATTTGAGTCAAATAAATAGTGACTCTATATGATAAATGAAAAGTGAAAAGCTTAGGACTATGATAGAGAAATTGGAAAAGCCCATGAAAGCAGTAAAGCCCCTTTGCCAACTATACAGGTAGATGAAGCAGAGAGAAAATTGTTCTTCATTGCTGGCTCTGGGGTTCAATGCCTGTGAATTCAATATCTCAGGAGCAGAAGGCTGAGAATGAATGCACCTGGTAAGGTTTACATAACTAACACCCTCCATTCTCCAAATTGTTATTCATACTGTGAAGAGAAGAAGAAACCAGTATTCTTGTTTCAGTCTGCTCTCGTGCTCAAGGCATCATTGTGACATCTTGGGAGAAGTTGATTCCTCCCTCTGGACCTTTCTTTTTCCTATTCCAGGTACCCTGGAAGAACCGACTACAATTAAAACAGTTTTGGAAAACAAAAATGTGATAAACTGAAACATTCCAGAATCACCATTTACTAATTGCCATAATGGCTTGAACAAGCAGCAACTCTGATGTTCAACAGGGCATCTCAAGCAAGGATGATGGCAATGATAGCCTTTCCAATAACTATTTTAGAAAAAATATTTCTAAGTTATTTTAGGTTATATTAGCCTATATAACTAGAATAAAGTTCATTGAAGGACAGATATCATTTACAGACATAAGGTTTCTTAATTCTCACTCATCACCAAGAACAAAATATTCACTTCTTTAGGAATATTAAAATTGTAATAAATTAAGAATTTCTTTTTAAAACTTTTTAAATTTAGGTACTTTGATTTACAAAGCTGTCAACAATAGCATTCTAGGGCACTCATTATATGTCAATGAATGTCTTGGCTATCTAATATTAATACATGTGTTGATTAAAAGCACCTGGCAGAGAGATATTATTGACATCTGTCACTTACAGATGAGAAAACTGAGTAAAAAAAATTAAGTGACTTTCCACAGATCTCACAGAGAGTAATTCTACTGATAGCAACGTGACTCTAGAGCTCGTGGTCTTGATCACTACCCTCTTCTTCCTTTGAGAAAAGAAGAAAACATTCTGAGCAATACAGTAAGTACCAAGAGGCACAGTCCTGCTCTTTCAACCCTCCGCATAACCCCGCAGAGCAAATGCTACTATTGTCACACTTGCATGATGGATTTGAGGCTCCAGAAATCACTAATCATCACTAGAGTAAGATTTTGTGAATTTTTGGACCAATTGCAATGCCTCCCACTTTAAATAGTATTTCTGTACTGATAGGAGCTCAAACTGCACTCTTAGGCCCCAGACTTCATTCAACACTCTAGGCTGTACCCACGTGACATCTTAGCCTTCAAATCTTTTCTTTTATGTAGCTTTTCTAAACTATGCCGGATGCCACAAAAAAGCCAGTACTGATACTGATCCAGTTGCAGGCAACTCCAGAGTGATGGTAGCTCACAGGCTTAAAAAAAAAAAGCTGAGTTTATTTCCCTAATTAAATTGCAAGGTCTTCCAGGTGAAGATTATAGTTCTTTCTTCTGTAACCAAAACAAAGAATACATATGTGTTTTTCTAAGTCCTGAAGAAGATTTACTGAAGGTATAAATTTACAAGGATACTGTGATATTGCAAGTAACAAGTAACAGATTGCCTGAAACCAAAAATCCTGAGAAAGAAGACAGCTGTGATTAGGAAAAAAAAATAACCCCAAACTTAATAAATCACATACTGCGGCATCTTCCTTTCATCTAGCTGACAAAACTGACTTAAGGCTCAGCTTCCCTTTGTTATAGTTTTTAAACAGGACTGAGTTGTCCCCTACCTTTCCTTTGACCATATACCCATCTTTATAGCTCAAAACCTCACCCATCT